GTTTGATAGCTCTAAACATTGCAACCTGATGTTATTTCCTGATAAGTCTGAAACTGTTATTATTTGCAATCTTACCATGTGTGTTTGAGCATGTTCTAGTGATTTCTGGAGATAGCTCAGTGTTCATGTTTTGTTATGCTTTACCTGTACTTCATGCCATGCCTTTTGTTATTATGTTGGGATGCTGTAGCTTGTTGTTTTGATGCTTGCAAGATGCCTAGTTGCTGTTATGGACAGATTGTTGCTATGACTTGTATAGAGTGTGTGTGTGTTGAACCGTTGCTCCGTTTTGAGTGTGCTCTATATGAAACTTGCTTGTTTTTGCATGTAGCTTCATATTATCATGTTGCATCCTTGTTTTGAGGTGTTTGCTTGATGTTTGTATGCATTTTGCATCAATGCCATGTTTGACTTGTTTTGCTCATATCTTCTAGGCCGTAGCTCCGAATCCAATGAACTTTATATGTAACTTGACTAGAATTTCGTGTAGATCATCTTGGTGCATCTTAACTTGCTGTTTAACAACTTGAACATAAGGTTTATTCAGATGGACCAATTTCAAAATATGCATATGAGGACTTACTTGAATTGTTATATGTTGTTCCCGGCCTCATTTAAACTTGCCTTGATGTGTTGTTCTTGTTTGCATCATCTCTTGCCATGAGTAGCTTCATGTAGCTTTGTCATGCATCATGCTTGTTGTGCATCATGTCTTGTTCATGTGTGGTGTATTTACCATGTTGTGTGCTTCTTTTTGATAGTTCCCGTTTCGTTGCGATCGTGAGGATGCGTTCGTCTACGTGTGGTTCGTCTTCGTGGCTTCATCTTCTTCATGGACTCATTCTTCTTCCTTGCGGGATTTCAGGCAAGATGACCGCTACCCTGGATCTCACTACTATCATTGATATGCTAGTTGCTTCATTCTATCGCTTTGCTACGCTACCTATCATTTGCTCTTCAAGCCTCCCAAATTGCCATGAACCTCTAACCTTTGACACCCTTCCTAGAAAACCGTTGTTTGGCTATGTTACCGTTTTGCTCAGCCCCTCTTATAGCGTTGCTAGCTGCAGGTGAAGTTGAAGATTTGCTCCATGGTGGACAGGATTATGTTGGGATATCACAATATCTCTTATTTAATTAATGCATCTATATATTTGGTAAAGGATGGAAGGCTCGGCCTTATGCCTGGTGTTTTGTTCCACTCTTGCCACCCTAGTTTCCGTCATACCGGTGTTATGTTCCCGGATTTTGCGTTCCTAACGCGGTCGGGTGATTTATGGGACCCCCTTGACAGTTCGCTTTGAATAAAACTCCTCCAGCAAGGCCCAACCTTGGTTTTACCATTTGCCTCACCACCACCACCTACCTTTCCCTTGGGAGTAATTAACCTAAGGGTCATCTTTATTTTAGCCCCCCCGGGCCAATGCTTGTCTAAGTGTTGGTCCAAACCGAGCGATGTCCGGCGCCCCCTGGGCAACCAGGGTCTATGCCAACCCGACGTCTTGCTCATCCGGTGTGCCCTGAGAACAAGATATGCGCAGCTTCTATCGGGATTGTCGGCGCATCGGGCGGCTTCGCTGGTCTTGTTTTACCATTGTCGAAATGTCTTGTAAACCGGGATTCCGAGACTGATCGGGTCTTCCTGGGAGAAGGAATATCCTTCGTTGATCGCGAGAGCTTATCATGGGCTAAGTAGGGACACCCCTGCAGGGTATAAACTTTCGAGAGCCGTGCCCGCGGTTATGTGGCAGATGGGAATTTGTTAATGTCCAGTTGTAGATAACTTGACACCAGATCCGAATTAAAACACATCAACCGTGTGTGTAGCCGTGATGGTCTCTTCTCGGCGGAGTCCGGGAAGTGAACACAGTCTTTGGGTTATGTTTAACGTAAGTAGGAGTTCAGGATCACTTCTTGATCATTGCTAGCTTCACGACCGTTCCTTTGTTTCTCTTCTCGCTCTCATTTGCGTATGTTAGCCACCATACTTGCTTAGCCGCTGCTGCAACCTCACCACTTTACCCCTTCCTTTCCCATTAAGCTTTGCTAGTCTTGATACCCATGGTAATGGGATTGCTGAGTCCTCGTGGCTCACAGATTACTACACCAAAAGTTGCAGGTACAGGTTATGCGATGATCATGACGTGAGAGCGATGTTTGCTTGTTATGGAGTTCTTCTTCTGATTCTTCTTCGATCAGGGGATAGGTTCCAGGTCGGCAGCCTGGGCTAGCAGGGTGGATGTCGTTTGAGCTTCTGTTTGTGGTTCATCCTTAGTCGGATGTTGATCTCTTGTAATATGTTGTTGTATTCGTGTGGCATTGTATGCCTTTTGTATGTATCCCCGTCTATTATGTAATGTTGATGTAATGATATCCACCTTGCAAAAGCGTTCCAATATGCGGGTCTATCCTTGGTGGGACCTTCGAGTTCCTTTTGGATAGGGTCGCATATTGGGCGTGACACCAGCGCAACAAAATGGAGACACTGCGGCCAGCTGGCATGCTTCAGCCCTTGGAGGTTCCATCTCAGGTTTGGGCAGACATCTCCATGGATTTCATCGAGGGCCTTCCCAAGGTGGGCGGCAAATCCGTCATTCTCACAGTGGTTGACTGCTTTTGTTTCCCTCTTGGCCACCCATATTCAGCGACATCTGTTGCACGGGCCTTCTTCGATGGCATTGTCCGTCTCCACGGGTTTCCTTCTTCGATCGTCAGTGATCGGGATCCTGTCTTCACGGGCCATGTGTGGCGCGACCTTTTCCGGCTGGCGGGCGTGAAGCTCCGCCTGAGCACTGCCTTCCACCCTCAGACGGACGACCAATCTGAAATCGTTAACAAGGTGATTGCCATGTATTTGCGTTGTGTTATAGGTGATCGCCCTCGTGCATGGGTGGACTGGCTCTCGTGGGCGGAGTACTGCTACAACACCTCTTTTCACTCCGCCTTTCGTGATACGCCCTTTGAGGTGGTTTATGGTCGGCCACCCCCGCCGATCCTGCCGGTGGATGCGGCCTCGGCACGGACCGAGGCGGCCGGGGCTCTTCTGAGGAACCGTGATGAGATGCTCGTGGAGGTCCAGCAACGACTTCTCCAGGCCCAGCAGTTGGCCAAACGATACTATGATGGCCACCATCGCGAGGCGAAACTCGCGGTGGGAGATTGGGTCTGGCTGCGTCTACTTCACCGCTCTACGCAGTCATTGGAACCCAGCGCACGGAAGAAGCTCGGTCCTCATTATGCCGGTCCCTTTGCTATCCTGGAACGCATTGGGAAAGTGGCGTACCGTCTTCAGCTTCCGGCCGGCGCGCGCATTCATGATGTCTTCCACGTCGGGCTGCTCAAGCCATTCCGCGGTGATCCACCCGCGGCACCGCCGGCCCTACCGCCGGCCTCGGACGGACGTCTCCTTCCTGCACCGGAGAAGGCGCTCAAGGCCCAGCTGCGCCGAGGCGCCTGGTACGTGTTGATTCGGTGGGCTGGACTACCGGAGGAGGACGCTACTTGGGAGCAGCGCGAGGAATTCCACCAGCACTACCCCGACTTTCAGCTCGAGGACGAGCTGTTTGCGCAGGCGGGGAGAGATGTTATGACCGGCCAGGTCTATGGCCGCCGTGGGCCCACTGGGCAGGCTTAAGGCCCAAGTTATCTTAGGTTTATTTTCAGATTATGGTTATATATACTAGTTGTAAAACTATTTTGAGAATCAAGCAATAAGACTATTCTATTGCCCAGCTCCCAGAGGAGTCGGAACCCTAAACCCTAGCCGCCTCCTGCTTGCGCCGCCGCCGCCAATCCGCAAGGACGGCGCCTCGCTGCCGGCCGCCGCGCTCTAGCCCTCGCCCACCTCCCTCCTTCCCCTATAACCTACGCCCTCGGAAGGGCAAAACCCTAGCTCCTAACAGTGTCTATGTAGATTCGATTCACAATAAAATTAAAACATCTTATATTTGTGAACGGAGGGAGTAACAAAGAGTGATTGCAGTTACAGGTAGTTTTTTAAAGTAGTTGACCCCCTCATTTCTAGCTAAAAGGCTTTATAATCCATCGTGGTCACCACGAAGTGATGTCTTGAGATAGATCGAATCTTTGTAAGTTGTAGGCAGCAGTACTTATGAATACTTGCACAGATCACGTACTCCCTTCGATTTACTTTATAAATTGAACACGGCGTTTTAGGTCGATTATTAATAAAACATGTACAATAAAATTACATGGTTAGAAACAATATATTTTAAATAAAATACAATACATGTTTCATACTCAAATTAAAGACCTGAGTATACGTGATGTGTGCAAGTATTTATAAGTACTCCCTCTGTCCCAAAATATTTGTCATCAAAATAAATAAAAAAATATCTAAAACTAAAATATATCTAAATACATCTTTTTTTATCCATTTTGATGACAAGTATTTTCGGACGGAGGGAGTACTTACAATATTTGATTTATCCCAAAACATCACTTTCGTTTCTTGATGCTAGTACATAAATGTACTATAGTATATATTATAAAAAAACTAGGTTATTTTAACTTTTTTATAAATCCCGTCACCGACAAATTATACACAATTTAGCATAGAATTCCAGCATGAAGACTGGAAAAAAAATTCTATGAGACCAGGTCTCATGGGTTAGCAGGTGAGACCCATTCTGATGGATGACACGTGGCATTCACAAATCACAAAGCATCTACCCCACCCCCTGAAATCAGGGGGGAGACATTAGATGCCACGAGTCATCCATCAGGGCGGGTCTCACCTACCAACCGTGAGACCTAGTCTCATATAATTTTTTTCCTGAAGACTGTGCCAATTTTAAATGTAACTGGGAGTTTCTACTCTCGGGTTTATATACGAAGTGAGGTGAAGAGGTGACAGTTGGATACTTGGATGCACTGCAAGAAAAAATGCACTGCGGTTTATATGTCTCTTAATAATGGTGGAAATATTTCGATCCTTCGTTTGTAATAATTCTGTTACTGCAATCTTGTGCATACTACAGAAGAAGAGAGCGATATCATGGCGACCTCCGTCTTCTACTTCGGAGAGATCGGAGTAAACGACTACATCTTCGCGCTATTCAGCAACCGCACAGCCGAATTCGCGGCGAGCTTTGTGCCGGACATCGTCGCCGTCACCCGTTCGGCGCTGAACGTAAGCAGTAAATCCTTTCGACCCAACCACCAGCATAACAGAAGCGCGCGCGGACCAACTGTGCATCGTCTACGCAGGCCGTGGTCGCCGCCGGTGCAAGGACGGTGCTGGTGACGGGGATGATCCCGCTGGGGTGCGAGCCGGAGCTGCTCGCCCTCTTCCCCGGCGACGCGCACGGGGAGTCCGGCTGCATCACGGGGTTCAACGAGATCGCCCAGCTGCACAACCGCGCGCTCAACTGCATGCTCCGCGAGCTCCGGCGGAGCCACCCCGGCACGACCCTCTTCTACGCGGACATCTACAGCCCCATCGCCAACCTCGTCGCGTCGCCCGGCAAATACGGTGCGTGCACGCGCAATATAACTGACAGACACCATCCGTGCTGACATCAATGCACGATCACTGATTTTACCTGGGACGTGCAGGTTTCGGCGACAGGCCGTTGGCCGCGTTCTGCGGCGGCGGCGCTGGCCCGTACCACTTCGACATGGCGGCGTTCTGCGGCACTTCGGACTCGACGGCGAGCTCCGACCCGTCCGAGTTCCTCTCGTGGGACGGCATCCACTTCACCGACGCTGCCAACAGGTTCATCGCCCAGGCGCTGCTCAGAGGATTGTATAACGCGTCGGCGATGGCAGAGCCACAAACTGCACTGTTCTGACATAAGACCGTGTCTGGATTTTACTCCAAGCAGGATTATATCTCTCGGTCGGACATAAGCGTCTGTGACTGATTTGTACTGTTCACGCCATTTCTGTGAGATCGACTCCCATGTCGGCACCACCAGGAAGACGCTGACGCAACCCTTTCCATGACATGTCATCAGCGAAATATATGTGATTTTTTGTTCTCTTTCTAATAAAGGCTATTGATCTTGAACGTGACATATTTGTATTACTATTCTTATAATCTCTAGCCTTGTATAATTGACTCATAGGGATATGTTAGGATTAGTTTCCTTGTCACGCAAGACATCTCGTGTATATATTGTGACCAACTTCGAGGAATACAATTGAGTTGCATCCCATATTCTCTCTACATGGTATCAGTTTTTCCGCGATCTTCCTCGCTTCCGCTCCCCGTAGCCGCCCCTTCTTCTCGTAGCCGCCGCTGCCACCCCCTCTAACGCTACCTCCGTCGCCGCTACCTCCTCTGTTGCCGCCGCCGCTTCCTCCTCCCAAAAACCCTAAGCCGCCGCCGCTACTCCCTCCCTACTGTAGCCACCGCCGCCTCTCCCCCAAACCCTAGTGCCGCCGCCGCTATCTCCTGCAGCCTCCGCCGCCCCCCTTCCCTCCACCAACACCTAAAACCCTAACCACCCGTTGCCACCCCTTCCCTTCTCCTAGCCACCATGCCCCGCTCCAAAGCCGAACCCTTCGATGCCGGTTCTTTCGCCGGCGCCATGTTCACCTCCGACCGCCTCAACGAGCTCCACATCAAAGACCATGTACCGTCGTCCTCGACCCCGACTCGCCATCCTACAATGCGTGGCGCACCTACTTCGTGTTGTTGTTCCGCTCCTACTGTCTCATCGAGCACGTTGACGGGGGCGTCGACTTCCGCAACATGAAGGACGACGACGAGTGGCTGCCATGGACACCTGCATCGTCAAGTGGCTCTTCCTCAGCATCTCCGAAGGTCTCTACTACATGGTGAACTCCCGTGACCCATTGGCGTACGCTATGTGGACACGGTTGTGCGATCTCTTCCTCGACAATCAACTCCAACGTCGTGTCTTCCTTCAAAGGGAGTTCTTCACTTTGCAGTAAAACAATCTTTCGATCGATGAGTACTGCACGCGGTTGAAGGTTCTCGCCAACGAGCTGCGCGATGTCGGCATGACCATCGACGACTTCGTCCTCCTCACCAACCTCCATCAGGGCCTCCACCTCGACCTCGGCCAGTCCACCGCCACCCTCTCTCTCGTCACGCCGACGTACGCCAAGGCGGTCACATATCTTCGCATGGAGGAGAAGCGCCTTCGCCACTCTGCTCGACAGGTGACCCACGCCGCCCTCCACGTCGGCATCGTCGTCGGCAACGGCGTGCCTCCTGTCTGCGCCGCGTGCTCCTGCTCCGACCCCGCCTCCCGCGCCCGCCTCCTCGGGTGGCCGCAAGCAGAACGGTCGCAGGGGTCGGGCACGCGACTCCAACACGGCGCAGCGCCCTCTTGCGCACACTGTGGCTGCTCATACCCCGCCATGGTTGTCGGGGTACAATCCCTGGACGGGTGTTGTGCATGCGCTCCATGCCTATCCCCCGCCCTCCTGCTCCGGGCATCCTCGGTCCTCGGCCGGCTTCTCATCAGGCGCTCCTGACCGCGCCCACCCTGGTCCCACGTCATATGGTGGTGCTGCAACCTATGGTGGTCCTGTGGCATATGGTGGTGTCGCACCCTATGGTGGCTCTCCGGCTTACGGTGCATATGGCGAGACACATGGCAGTGTTTGGGACCCCGCACTTCTCTCCACTCTTCATGTTGCCCCCTCGCCGAGCAACTACAGTGGAGGTGGCGATTGGTACATGGACACCGGCGCTGCCGCTCACATGGCTTCTAATCCTGGTATCCTCTCCCATGCCTCCCCCTATCCCTTCAACTCTCGTATCGTGGTTGGTGATGGCACCTCTCTTCCCATCACTCATCACAGTTCGTCCTCCCTTCTGTTTCCCTCTTCATCTTTAACTCTTAATAATGTGCTTGTTCACCATCCTTAATCAAAAACCTATGCTCTGTTCGTACTCTTACTCGTGAAAATCATGTCACTGTTGAGTTTGACGCTCTTGGTTTCTCTGTCAAGGATGCTCGCTCCCGGAGGGTTCTGCACCGATGTGATTCCCATGATGATCTCTATCCATGATGTCCTATGACAAGTGGCGGTCTGGTTGCTCTTCATGCCGATGTCTCGCTTTGGCATGCTCGACTTGGTCATCCCGACGTCGACGCTCTTCACAAAATTTTGAGCACCTTTTCTTTTTCATGTAATAAATTAGCGGCGCATACTTGTCATGCTTGCCGTATCGGAAATCACGTTCGCTTGTCGTTTCCTTCATCTACATCAATAACCACTTTTCCTTTCGATGTTATTCATTGTTATGTTTGTACATCTCCAGTGCCTAGTGAGGGAGTCCTGGACTAGGGGGTGTCCGGATAGCGGAACTATCATCATCGGTCGGACTCCAAGACTATGAAGATACAAGATTGAAGACTTCGTCCCGTGTCCGGATGGGACTTTCCTTGGCGTGGAAGGCAAGCTTGGCAATACGGATATGTAGATCTCCTACCATTGTAACCGACTCTGTTAACCCTAGCCCTCTCCGGTGTCTATATAAACCGGAGGGTTTTAGTCTGTAGGACAACAACAATTACAACAATCATACCATAGGCTAGCTTCTAGGGTTTAGCCTCCTTGATGTCGTGGTAGATCCACTCTTGTACTACCCATATCATCAATATCAATCAAGCAGGAGTAGGGTTTTACCTCCATCGAGAGGGCCCGAAACTGGGTAAAAACATCGTGTCCCTTGTCTCCTGTTAGCATCCGCCTAGACGCACAGTTCGGGACCCCCTACCCGAGATCCGCCGGTTTTGACACCGACATTGGTGCTTTCATTGAGAGTTCCTCTGTGCCGTCGCATATAGGCCCGATGGCTCCTTCGATCATCAACAACGACGCGGTCCAGGTGAGACTTTTCTCCCCGGACAGATCTTCGTATTCGGCGGCTTTGCACTGCGGGCCAATTCGCTTGGCCATCTGGAGCAGATCGAAAGCTACGCCCCTGGCCATCAGGTCAGATTTGGAAGTCTAGACTTCACGGCTGACATCCACGGAGACTTGATCTTCGACGGATTCGAGCCACAGCCGAGCGCGCCGCACTATCTCGATGAGCACGATTTAGCTCTGTTGCTGGATAGTGCCCTGGAGGCCGCACACGAGCCCGCTCTGATCCTCAATTCGGAGCCGGCCGCCCAGATCGAGGACGGGTGGCTAGACACCGCCTCAGGGGCTGCTACCCCTGCAGCGATGGAGCCAAATACTGACCTTGTCCCTTGTGAAGCCTGTGACTCCAAGGTGCCGGACTCCATGCCGGACTCCGAACCTCCCGCGCCCCCGCCAATCGAATCCGATTGGGTGCCGATCATGGAGTTCACCGCTGCGGACATCTTTCAAGACTCACCTTTTGGCGACGTCCTGAATTCACTAAAGTATCTCTCGTTATCGGGAGAGCCCTGGCCGAACTGCGGTCAGGACGGTTGGGATGCGGATGACGAAGAAATTCGAAGCCCACCCACCACCCACTTTGTAGCAATTGTCGACGATTTAACCGACATGCTAGACTTCGACTCCGAAGACATCGACGGTATGGACGACGATGCCGGAGATGACCAAGAACCAGCGCCTACTGGGCACCGGAAAGTCACCTCAACTCATGACATATACATGGTGGATACACCAAAAGGAAGCGATAATGAGGAACAACGGGATGCGGCGAAGGATAGTTCCCCCGAAAAACAACCAAAGCGGCGACGCAAGCGCCGCCCAAAGTCCCGCCTCGATAACAACAACACCCATACTGGCCCAGCCGTAGAGCAGGACGAACCAGTGGACGACGAACACGCCACCAAGCAGTCATCCGAACAGGATGAATTGGGCGAGCAACCCATTCCCGATGAAGACAACAGTCCAGACGATCTCACGCCAGACACATCACCGGAGCATAAGAACCTTCACAAAAGGCTCGTCGCCACTGCAAGAAGTTTGAAGAAGCAGAAGCGGAAGCTCAAAACAGCGGAAGATGTACTCAGAAAGAGATGGAGCAAAGTACTCAAGACCGCAGATAAATATGGCGATAGTCACCAAGCAAAGAGCTACCCGAAGCGCAAACTGCTGCCCGAATTTGACGAGGAGGCCGTAGAACCCCCACAGTCACAAAACAAAGAGGCCGCCTGGCCGGATAGACGACCAGATGACAGGCCAAGAGCGGCAGACGGCGCCGCACACAAGCCGCCACACGATCCACATAAGGATCCTCGAAAAAAGAATGGCCCGGTCAGGTCCATCTATGGGCCAAAAATGAGGGCTCCAGGAAGCAACACAACACGTCAAGTGTTCGAAGATAACGGCACACCTAAATACAGGGGCACCGCACACCCACTATGTTTCACCAATGAGGTACTGGATCATGAATTTCCAGCGGGCTTTAAGCCCGTAAACATAGAGGCATACGACGGAACAACAGACCATGGAGTCTGGATTGAGGATTACATCCTACACATACATATGGCTAGAGGAGACGATCTCCATGCCATAAAATACCTACCCCTCAAGCTCAAAGGGCCAGCTCGGCATTGGCTCAAAAGCCTCCCAGAAAATACCATTGGAAGGTGGGAAGAGCTCGAGGATGCGTTTAGAGCAAATTTTCAGGGGACTTATGTCCGCCCACCGGATGCAGACGATTTAAGTCACATAACTCAACAGCCCGGAGAGTCAGCGCGCAAATTCTGGAACAGGTTCCTCACCAAAAAGAACCAAATAGTCGACTGTTCGGACGCCGAAGCCTTAGCAGCTTTTAAACATAACGTCCGAGACGAATGGCTCGCCAGACACCTCGGCCAGGAAAAGCCAAGAACAATGGCCGCGCTAACGAGCCTCATGACCCGCT